GCTAATGAGTGAAGTTAGCCAACCAGAAGTGGTTGATAATACTTGGGACCAGGAGTGGTCGAGAATACTCACTAAGAGCCTGAAGAGGCTGAACAAAGAATACTAGTGCTAATAGCCAACCAGGAGTGGTTGATAATACTCGGGACCAGAAGTGGTCGAGAATACTCACTACGAGCCTGAAGTGGCTGATCAAAGAATACTAGCGCTGACGAGTGAAGTTGGCGGGCCAAAAGTGGTCGATAATACTCGGCAAACCAGAAGTGGTGATAATACTTGTACTTCATTGAATATCTATAGTTGAACCCTTCAATTGAAGAAGACTGAACGTAGCTCATTCTGAGTGACCAGTATAAAAATCTTTGCACTGTCTTTTTATGTTTCAGACGCACTTTCATTTAACTGATATATCATATTGAAAACTTCGTCCAATGCTTATTCTTCACTATGACTCTTTTCAGACGTAAAATACACCTGTTTAACTGAATATTTCTTAAGAAACATTTTCTTTATGCAGACGTTAAACTTTCAGACGGAAAATCTTTTGTTAAGCCAATTCTGCACAGCCCTTAAGTATTCAAAAAGATTTTTATTAGAAGAATAAGGATCTCTCTGCAAAAACAGTTTTAAAGTTTTTCCGTTCACACACATACACATATTCAACCCCCCTTCTATGTGTTTTTCGTCTAACTTCACTCACCATGGGTTTAGCCTGGGTGGGCCGGGTGAAAATGAGTCAGGTTTAGATATACCCACATACTATAAATTTTTTATTTATTTTGGCCCAACCTAACCTATTTTCATGGTGGGTCGGGTCGGCCCACGGGTTATAACCCATTTTGACGGCTTTGTCCGTAACTCGTCATGTAACAGTAGGATTAGCTAGGAAAAAAGGTCTCCAACGTTGAACCAACATATAGTGATCAACAACCATCTAGGGACCCTCCATTAAAGCACAATTGTAATCTTTATCGATGTGAACAACACCTGGTAGTAATCATGGGAAACATCAATAATTCTGATAGCAGTTTTTCTAGCCTATGAGCGATTAATTTTGGACTCCAACCGGTGAAATTCAACACTATTACCAAGGACCATAACCATTAGCGACCCTTTCCAAGGCTTGCACCATTCTGAAAATTCCTCATCCTCAATAGGAATTTCAAGAAACTTTCCTTTGTCTTCTAGCGAAATAGGCAGAGGTGGTAACTCCTTATCTGGATGCCCAAAACATCTCCCATCAAAATAAGAGTAAGGAATAGGCCCACCATTTGTCAACAACTTACCTACATATGACCTATCTTCATTAGCTTGCCCGTTAACAGCACCACATGACTCTCCCATCTCCTCCACGACATTTGACTTACACTTTACTTTTCGAACACTTCAGAGAAAATCATCTTCCTCCTTGGAAGAACCCCCAAAAACCCTAGTTCAGCCAAGGGCTTCATCCATTTTTTATTTGTGTCTAAAGTGTAATTGAGTTAAAATAAACAAACATTAATATCTTACAAGAAATTAATTCGTAAAAACTCAATAAGAAATTTCAATTCAAGTAATATCCTATATTTTCAGAAATCGTATATCACATTTTCTCCATTTTAGTTATTGTGTAATGATTGGTTAATGACAAAAAATATATTCATATCTCCTTAAAGTATAAAAAATGCAAATATAAAAGAGTGTATTACATGAAATTTTTTTTATAAATTTTAAAAAGATTTTGTAAAAATGTGATAATTTTTATGATTTTTTTTTTTAAATTATAATCAAAAGTTTGTAATATGAATTTTAATGGATTTATATCATAAGAATTTATAAGAATTTAAAAGATAATGAATTTTTAAAAAACAACACAATTAATAACAAATACCACCATAATAAGATTTGAATAAAAAAAATAAAATTAATAATATTTTAATAAACATTTGATTTTAACCCCATGTTCTTTAAGCAATATTTTTCTACACATAACCTTCATGTATTAATATTTTCTCATTCATACTATTGAAGTTAAACAATATGTTCAAAATTATAATATTCGTTAACTAGTAAATTTGTCAAAATTGATCTGACATGATGGACTAGTTTGTTAACTCGTTAAGTTAAGTCAGGTTGGACTTCTTATTTTTAGACCCGAAAAAGACTAGTATAATTTTTCCTAACCCAATGTATTAATCAGGTCATGTTGGACCGAAAAAAAAAAATAGGTTCCAAAGGTACCAAAATTATTTGGTCGGATGATTTTTTTTTTTTACATTTTCCTTTGAAATTACATGTAAAACCATTAAAAATAAATTATTGTTTTCAAATCATACACACACTAATTTAATTATATTCAAGTTGATATTAGGTATAACTTAAATAGTGACACTTTTATTCTCATAATCACACACATTATTTTTATAAATAACCTAAAAATTTCTCTTAAGTTGTGTTTGGATGAAGAAACCTAAAAGTTGAGATGCTTGAAATTTTAATTGTTCGATTGGATAGTTTATTTTAAATTTCTTAAATTTTAAATACTTAATTTTCTCCATATACAAAAATTATTTTGTAATATATGTTTAAAATTTTGATATATTAATATTAAATTTTATTGAATATAAACATTAGCTAAATTTTGATAATTTGATAAATGTAACCTAGATAATATTTAATAAATTAAAAATAATTTTAAATATTTAATAATTAAAAATAAATATTAATAAATTGTATATCAATATTGATATATAAAAAAATAGGAGAGAAAAAATAAAAAGGTATATATGAGAAAGATGAATAGAAAGACAAAGAGAAGATGAGATAAAGAAGATAAGAGAAAGAGAGAGGGAGGGGGAGAGAGAGAGAGGCAAGGGGAAGATTGAAGGGAGAGAGTCGCCACCCGTCGCGATCTCGACGGAGAGAAAAAGAAAAAAAGAGGAGAAATAGAAAAAAAAAATCTCAAAGATTTTAGTGACATTATTAGATAAGTGGATTATATATAAATTCTATTAAAGAGTCTAAAAAAATTCATCATTCAAAATAATTCATTGAAATTTTTTTTTTTCATACTAATAGATTTTTTTAAGTAAAAGAAGTATTAATTAAATACTATCCATTTTTAACGTACTTTTAAAAAAATCATGATTATCTTAATTGAATACTATTAAATTTTAATGTACTTTTAAAAATTTATTGATTACCTTAATTAAATATCACTTAATTTTTTTACATTAAAACATTAATTAAATATCACAAAACTTTTTTATAATAATTATTTTAAATCCTTTGATATACTAATCCAGTTTAGGACAAAAATTCACATTCAAGACATGTGAAAGTGTAAATAAGCTAGTTAGAACAAATAAATCTTACGGTATTAAGACATTTGATTAAAACTCAATAAATAAGATGCTAACATTTATTACCATTAAATCTCATTAAACATAAATTTAATATTTTACAAAAATTCACATTCAACGTGATCCATAAAGCACAATTGAATTAAAACAAACAAATCCTAAAATGGTACAAGATATTGATTGGAAGAAAATTTTAGTCGATTAAATATATTCATTTGAAAAAAATGGTTTGGATTTTTTCTTTTTTTCCTTTCCAATTTGTCCTAATTCTCATTTCTCAGCTACAGTTAGTTTGAAGTTTTTGGTTTTAATTTAATAAAGGGTTAGTGTGCAACCGGCATGACTAATTGTAAGGAACAAGGGTTGAATGTAGTTGAGAAATTGAAGAGTGATTTAATAATAGCATATAAAAAGAAAGAGTTAATCACTTATACATTGTTAATGTAAATTTTTTTTATACTGATAACCAATTATATCTTTTAATTGTGTCATATTACTGTAATATATTTACTTTTAATGGTGACATGACACAATTAAAAGATATAATTGGTTGTCAGTGTAAAAAAACTTTATACTGTCAGTATATAAGTAATTAACTCATAAAGAAAAGTAAGTATTAAAAAAAATGTTCCATATATTGATATACAAAAAATATTATTATAGATACAATATACATATATAATATATTTTATATATTTATATACATAATTTTAATATTAAATTTAAATAAGATTTGTGTTACTATATTTTATAATTATATTTTTTTAACAATATATCAACATATTATATTATATATATATATATATATATATTATGGGTATAAGTAATTTTATTGATACATATTATATTATTATAGAATGTGTATCATTATATACCAATTTTTTTTAATGAAGATTATAAAAGAAATAAAAAACTATTAAACTAAAATAAATATAAATATGTTTTGATACATATTAGAAATACTTTTTAAAAATTTTCTATTGAAAATATAAAATACCTTTTAATAAAAAAATTCTTAAAAATATTTTTAAATTTACATTCAAACATACTCTATATCCAAATGTACAAATCATGTTCGTGATATAAGTTAATCTCCCACCTCAACACATCCACCATGGATAAAACCTAACAAGAAAGGATTACGACATCTATTTCGTTTAAATCACGTTGAACACAAATTTTCACGAGATAAGAGTTCACATTCAACGTGTCACGAAGAGCGTAATTAAATTAAAACAAACTTCAAATCTTACACAAAATTGACTAGATAAAAAACCCAATAAGAAAAAAAAAACCCTAATATCTACCAATCCTAAAACAAACAATTCATAAAATCCTACAAGATATTTATAGGATGAAAATTAAGTAAAGAAATCCAAAATCTACTAACAATGACCAAAGGAAACAATGTGCAGGCAGACTGCAATCAATCAACAAAATCACAAACAATTGAATCACAATGATAAATTTATTAATTTTTATAATAATCATTTTAAAAATCATACAAAATTAACTGTAAAAATACATTTTAAAAATAAAATATGGTGTAGTTGGTTGTTCATAGTATAATAGATTAATAGTTTATACTTTATACCCAAACCACTCGAGTCAAAGAGGCTCACCCAATGAGCAACTCTAGTCAACACAAGCTCCTTTCAATCACCAAATCCCAACTGTACACAGCTCCAAGAACCAAAACCAAAACAAGACCTAAAAAAATTGCTTCTTTTTTATCTTTTTCATTTTGATGAAAGAAAATCCCCCAGATTCCACATTCAATTAACCATCTTCCAAGTTCCAACCATTTATGATTTAACCCTCACACTCACACTTTTTATCTCCGCGTCTCCTCGCACCCCACAAGTCAATGGCAGCGTCCCAAAAGCGTTAGACCCAAAACCCAGAATAAAAACCGAACCTTTAGCACTCCCACACCCTCCATGGATCTCCGCAACACGTTTTCCCCTTCCTTCTTCGTGCCCCTCTTCCTGGGCTTCAACCTATTCTTCTTCTTCGCTTCGTCGCAGGTCGACGACGACGTCAAATGTCTCCGCGGCATCAAGGACTCCCTCCACGACCCCGACGGTCGCCTCACCTCGTGGCGCTTCGACAACACCACCGTCGGTTTCATCTGCGACTTCGTCGGCGTGTCGTGCTGGAACCTCCGGGAGAATCGCGTCCTAGGTTTGCAGCTCCGTGAGTTCGGGCTCTCGGGTCGGATCCCGGAATCTTTGAAGTTCTGTGGGAAGAATCTCCAAAAGTTGGATCTTGCTACGAATTCTTTCTCGCCGGAGATCCCGCCTGAGATCTGCACTTGGATGCCGTTTTTGGTTTCGATTGATTTGTCTGGTAATCAGCTTTCTGGGCCTATTCCTCCCACGATTGTGAATTGTTCTTATTTGAATGACTTGGTGTTGTCGGATAATCAGCTTTCTGGGTCGATTCCATATGAGTTTGGGAGTTTGGGTAGGCTTAGGAAGTTTTCTGTGGCTAACAATAGGCTTAGTGGGACAATTCCTGATTTTTTCAATGGGTTTGATAGGGAGGGTTTTGAGGGGAATAGTGACCTTTGTGGGGGTCCTCTTGGATCCAAGTGTGGTGGGATGAGTAAGAAGAATCTTGCTATTATAATTGCTGCTGGGGTGTTTGGTGCTGCTGCTTCGTTGTTGCTGGCTTTTGGGTTGTGGTGGTGGTACCATTTGAGTGGGAAGAGGAAGAAGGGGAAGGGCTATGGGCTTGGTGGTGTTGGGGATGGTGCTGCTGCTGTTGGTGGTGGTGATTGGGCTGTCAGGTTGAGAGGGTATAAGCTTGTGCAGGTTAGTCTCTTTCAGAAGCCTATTGTGAAGCTCAAGTTGGGGGATTTGATGGCTGCTACTGGTAATTTCAGTGGGGAGAATGTTCTCTTCGCCACCAGGACCGGGACTACTTATAAGGCCGATCTTCCGGATGGCTCCACGCTCGCGGTGAAGCGGCTGAGTGCTTGTAAGATTGGGGAGAAGCAGTTTGGGATGGAGATGAACCGGCTCGGGCAGGTTCGCCACCCGAATTTGGCGCCATTGTTGGGGTTTTGTGTGGTGGAGGATGAGAAGCTGTTGGTGTATAAGCACATGTCGAATGGGACATTGTATTCGTTGTTGCATAAGAGTGGTGGTGGGGTGTTGGATTGGTTGATGAGGTTTAGGATTGGGTTGGGCGCGGCGAGGGGGCTTGCGTGGTTGCATCATGGCTGCCACCCTCCCATTATACAGCAGAACATTTGCTCAAGTGTGATACTTGTTGATGAGGAGTTTGATGCTCGGTTGATGGACTTTGGGCTGGCGAGGCTCATGGCGTCGGACTCAAATGGGAGTTTTGTGAATGGGGATTTGGGGGAGCTCGGGTATATAGCACCGGAGTATCCAAGTACCTTGGTTGCTTCGTTGAAAGGGGATGTGTATGGGTTTGGGGTTTTGCTTTTGGAGTTGGTGACCGGGCGAAAACCTCTTGAGGTGAGCAATGGGGAGGAAGAGTTCAAGGGTAGCTTGGTGGATTGGGTGAATGTGCATTCTAGTTCGGGCAGACTCAAGGATTGCATTGATAAAGCCATATGTGGAAGGGGACACGATGAGGAGATTCTGCAGTTTCTGAAAGTCGCTCTGAATTGTGTGGTTTCTCGCCCCAAGGATAGGTGGTCTATGTACCAAGTTTATCATTCCTTAAAGACCATATCCAAAGACCACAGTTTCTCTGAACATGATGATGAATTCCCCTTGATCTTTGGAAAGCCAGAAAATGACACGGTGGCATAGTTCTTGAGGAAGCATGGCGGCATGAGAAGATGATGAAAATGTTCTTACACTGAATTGCTATTTTATAGTGGAGAGTTCTCACAATGGTACTGATGTTTATTATGGCTTGAACATTTCCTCCAAGGGTGACCCTAATCAGGTATAGTTGTATTGTATGATATAATAAACTTTCTCTTAGGATAGATTTTATGAGATCTATTTGTTTCTCTGTTTGTTGTATGAAAATGCAATATCTAATGATGTCCAAGATGCTTGGAATATGCTTCGGATTTGAATCCTTAAATATGTCTGTCCTCAAAACCAAGAACATAGGCGTCTACTTGTACTCTGTAAAAAGACATCTAATCATGGTGTTTTGTTCATCTAGATCTAATTGATTGGGAAGTTTGAAGCATTTAATTTCTGTATAAATAAATGAAGTCCTAGGTTTATGCTGAACTTGAGATGATGAAAATAGTTTATTATTTCTATTTTGTAGATAATAATTTTATGATATAAATTTCCATGTAAAAAGATCTTAATGAACAAGCACTTAAATTGACTTTATATATTAATGCATCTCAAGTTTAGCATGCAAAATACTGCATGCTACAAGAACCAAAATCAAATTCATCATTATTCATTAACATTGTAAATTTGACATGTCTGTCCTGTGGAGAAAATGAACTGTGTATGCCGCAAGAAAAATTATATGGATGTTAGAGAATCCCCGTCTACATTGACTATAACATGTTGCATATCTTTAGCATCCCAAGAGTAAAAATGAAAGATACAAAGAATATATGTGAACCAGAGATAAAGTTCTATAATAATGTTATGTTGTCCCATAAATTTTCTTACAAATCCTCTTAACATGTTATGGAGAAAATATTAAATGAAAAATGAATGCATTTAATGGCTTGCAAATTTATAATCATTTAAATTTTTTTTTCATCTAATAAGAGGATTAGAATGAAGATTGTGTTAGAAGGTTTAGAATTATTATATGAGCCTGTATAGGAATGTGTGATGGACTGGGCTGTTTAATTATTTCACATTACAGAAATTTAGCTGTGGGGACGGTCCAACATAAACTGTATGAACAACATGTGTTTTGGATGCAAGTTACATTTATTTAGCAGCTTCAAAAAATGTTTATTTAATGAATTCTTGTCTTTACTTTTGGTAGATATGAATTTTTGTCATGCGAAAACATGGGATATAAATTTGACCATGAAATTTATTAAAATAAGTTAAAACAATTTATTGAAGTATCAAATCATTTTTTTAGATATGTAAAAGCTTTTTTCAAATGTGCCTCGTAATAATTAATAAACGCTAGGCTAGTCATTTGTAAAAGACCCTATTATTGTAGTATTATAGGGGTAGTAAAAAAAATTTAGCGTGATTGTTTGCATTTAATTAATATACATTCATAATTATATGTATTATAATATCAAACAAAGTTTAAAAAGACTAAAGTTAATATTAGTATCTTTTGAGTTAAAAAGTCTAAAAAAAAATTAACCATTGAATTTACAAAATTCATATTTAATATAAAGTTATTAAATCGTATAATATTTAATACCATCTCTTTATATAATAATTAGAAACTCTAATATATATATATATAT